ATTAAATAATAAAATTAATGATAATGGACAACCCTCTAAACCTAGTTGCCTTGTTGGTTTTATCATTTATAATTCGAGCGCGCAGCCTAACCAGGCAAAGGCCAGATAAGATCCCTAGAAAAAAATGGATTCAAAGTGACTTTCATCTCATGGATACAACAAAATTCTTTACCAGATCGAAAAACAAAAACATAAAACAAAAAATAGTTGTTCAAATGTTTTTTTAAACCAACCTAGGATATGCTGTATTATAAAATTTGATGGAATGTTATCTCTTCATAACAATCTACAGTGTGTGTGTGCATTTAAGAAACACTGGTCACAAAAAGCACATCCTCATAATATAACCATAAAAACATGTATAATATGCACAAGCATGAAAAATATTCCTTTGCAAATAAAAACTGGAATTAATTTTTGTAATTCTTTATAACGAACATGAAAAACTGTAAAGTATTTTTCTTTTTTTTTAATCATCTATGAAAGATCAATTAGTGGAGGTAATGAGTGCATCCTTCACTAATAAGGATCAGTCTTTTCTTTTAATCACTGTAAAGTATTTGTCTCTGACTTTTTTTGTGTTTTGGCATACCAACAAAAGTCAACCGTGTTACACAAATAAGGATCAGTAAATATCCGTGGGGAAGGGTTTTTAATATTTAATAATATTTAGGTCTTGAACTAATGACTTATTCATGGAGGCCAAATTTTCTTCTACTTCTCACAATTTGAACTCGTAACCAACAACATGTGCGTCCTCATTTAAAATTTGAAGAAATGAGATCTATACATAAACCATCCTCGATCACAAAAAAAAAATTTCTTCCTTTTTAACCACCACTACTTCGCCCAAGTATGGATCGGGAAAAAAAATAGAGTAGAAGGTACTAGAAACATTTCTAGTCGAATGAATTTCGAAAATTTTGTAGGAGCTCGTACGATTTTTAAAATTATGGCTTGTTAACGGGTACAACTTTGAGAAGTATTGGTGGCTTAACAACGCTCGTTATAATTGTACCCCACCTAAAACTTGCATTGAAGGAGGACATCAGATCAAGAAAAGTGAGGAACCGATTTATGAAAATTCTAGAAAGCCCAAATTTCCACAAGTGAACAAGAGCAGAAGAAAAAATACTAAGTAAACAGGAGCACAACAATTTTTCTTCAAATATTGAGACTAAGCGATTGCATACTTTCCACTGATATTTATTTCTATCTCTTGAATGCAGACTTGTTGATTGCACATTTATTCGTGCCTAGACTTTGATACAAAATAGCGTTGTATTATGAGCATGACCCAAAATAGGGTCTATTTCTATCTCTTGAATGCATTTGCAAGGTTAATATACACAACTCGAAAAATGTGATGTTTTTACGTAAACCGTTGATTTTGCAAGTGAAACAACTAACAATCCCAAGTCTTTTCCCAAAAACATAGTCATAAACTTTTACCATCTGAACTTCTATTAAACAATTGCATTCAAGTTGGTGTTGAAGGAAATCTATATCGTGCAAGTTCTTAGAAAACCCGACATTCCAAACCAGCTTCCACCAAACCTCAACCAGCCCTTCACTGAACATATTTGCAACCATGTAAAAATTATGAGGTCAATTTTGAGACTATCTTGAACTTGTGGTTCAACTGCTTGTGCAACTCCACATCAATTGCTTGTGCAACTCCACAAACGACATTATCAACTATAGTAAAAATTTAATCTCATGTATAGTGTCTACATCAACTCGTCAGAGCAACGATTAAACCCCAACGTAGATGTTATACTTTACCTAGCCACGCAAGTGAAACAACTAACAATCCCAAGTCTCTTCCCAAAAACATAGTCATAAACTTTTACCATCTGAACTTCTACTAAACAATTGCATTCAAGTTGGTATTGAAGGAGATCTATATCGTGCAAGTTCTTAGAAAACCCGACATTCCTAACCAGCTTCCACCGAACCTCAACCAGCCCTTCACCAAACATATTTGCAGCCATGTAAAAATTATGAGGTTAATTTTGAGACTATCTTGAACTTGTGGTCCAACTGCTTGTGCAACTCCACATCAACTGCTTGTGCAACTCCACAATCAACATTATCAACTATAGTAAAAATTTAATCTCATGTATGGTGTCTACATCAACTCTTCAGAGCAACGATTAAACCCCAACTTAGATGTTGTACTCTATCTAGCCACTTACCCAATCCTATAGTTGGGCTATCTCACATAGATACGGCGAGAAAACAATCTACTGTTTAAACTTGGAAAATGAGAACCATTGCAAAAGGAAAAACAAACAAACAAAAATAAAACTCTTAAAATTTATCACCAGATAAAATATAAAAAAATAAAAAAATATAATTTAATTTACTTTTTGATGTAAAAGTTTTCGATCGTATTTTCTAAAAAAGATCAACATTTGTTTTTTAAAATAACAAACCTTCATCAACAACTTTCGATTTAGAATACCCTTCTTTTTAAACCACTCTTACTTGGCCCAACTATCGGCCGCCGGAAAAAAATATTGTAGTGGCCCGCATGTTTCCTAAAATTGTGGCATGCATACGGTCACAACTTTAGGAACGTGGGACACGGCGCCATAAACTCTTGTGGGGGCAGTGGCGTGTTGTAGCACCTCCGCTAAGGTTGCATGCATGCAGAGTATGACTGGACGGGCGGTGCGGTGGGCGGTGACGACGGAGGCTGTTTCCCAGGTAAGGGCTGGATTGGAGTCCACGACGATCACACAGGCATGGATAAGCGACGAACTAGCAGCCAACGGTGGCTGGGCACGGTCAACGGGCCTTAAGTGCAAAGGGGCCAGGCGATGACTGTGTGGCTCTCCGGTGTCTGTGACAAGGCGTGTAGCACAAGGAAGACGACCAACATCGTGGGGGGTAACCTCGCACACCCCTACCCCTCCGAGCCCATACACACCGTCCGCACCTTGGTCCACCCTTTCGACATCCTCCCCTCCCCACCCTCGTGCCCCCTACGCCCTCAACCCCCGTCGCCTGCACACCTGTACCCTCCCCTACTCGTACTTCTCTTCCCCCTTTAACCCCGCCTTACACACCATCTGTCCTTACACTGCCCTCCCCTCTGCCCCTCCAAACCCCTAACCCCATCGACACCACTGACTGCGCACACCCCACTGACGCCTGTTAATCATCAAGGGGACAATACACTCCACACCCACCCCGGCCTCCCACCAGTATGACCAATGAGGTGACACACAATCCCTCTCCCGCGGGAAACACGGAGGGAGGCAAGGTTGGCTCAAGATGGAGAGACAATTGTATATGGAGCCGGACAAAAAAATCCAGGTCAGAGATGGCTACATCTACCCCCACGCCATCTTCAACGCCCATGCATTGGCCATGTGCAATGCCATCACGCCCAGGCATTGGCCATATGCAATGGCATCTACTCTCACAAGGCGGTGCATATTCGCTTTCCGGCGTCCTTCACGTCGACCCGGTCAATGATAAGATCAAATGGATCTTAGACAGACTGGGAGCTATAAGAATAGACAAATAACTAGGTCATAAAAACTTCCTTCTTGAGGTGGAGAGCCCAGATTTTATTACAGTGGTGGCACTTCACACACCTCCTCCTCAAGAATAAAGTGTTACATTTCAAGGGGACCCGGTCCACGTATCTGTATGGTCCCCGACTAACCCCCTCTCGAGCGATGAAAGTGGAGGATTCTTGATGACTTCCAACTTCTGGGTGGAGTTTAGGTTCGCCCCCCTTTGTGTGCAAGGTGCTATCAAAGGCTATATCACAAACCTTCCCCAATTTACGGGTACGAGGAACGACTCGCTCCTCGTTGCAGTGGACTGGGATCCTAACTTTCCCTTCCCCCTCAACGGAGAGTGGAGAGACTCCTGTGGGGGAGGGGAGCATTCGGTCCCGGTCAGCCACACCCAAGACCCATGGTGCTATGCCTGTAAGACAAGAGAGCACCTCTGCACTGAAGAATCATGCCCCAATAAATAGAGGCAAAGGATTAAAGGCCTGGTCATCCCCGACCCATGGAATGCGAATGTCTGGTTCCCTAAAGAGAAAGCCCATGAAGGATGGGTATTTAGAGCATATGCAAATAGACGACATGAGAAATGGTTTTGGCAAGGGACTGGACACCCGGGATCTTTCCCGACGGGGGCTCGACACATTGTCACAGACGACCTGAAACAGAAAGGGGAGCGGGAGTCGGCCTCAGAAAACATGGCGCTGACCACCAACAGCAATGAACCAGTGGAAGGGGGAAAGTGACAACCGCACAACCCTGGCCCGCACAAACATCCCCCTCTCCATGAGTATGTGGCAAAACGGCAGGGGACCAAAAACTGCCCCACCACCCCCCTGCAACAGCCCACCACCTCTTTCGCGGACAAAGCAAACATTCACAACACCCGGCCTGATGACCAAAAAGGGTGCGCGATGGGGGGCACCGAGGGGAAGGGCAGCCCCCTGCTTCGACCCGTGCAGGCACTCCCTTGTCGGGGGGAAAGCCCCAGGCCTCCCAAACTAGCAACAAGGATGCCCCCTCCCCATTGAAAGATGCCCAAAACGGACAACCGCCAAACAAGGGGGTGGAGGATGGGAGCCGGACGCAGGAAAATTAGGAAAACCAGGACCGGCAACAAAAAATTATGGCCACCAGCCGCTCGCCGACCCACCCTCCCAGCAGCTGCTAGTGACAACGGGGCCCTTGTACCGCCTGGCCGAGGGGAGAATAACAGACCCACAAGAACAAGCGAGAATGATGGGCCCACAAGAACAAGGGAATTTGATCAGTCTAACCGTTGTGGACCCTCCCGCGCAAAGGATTCGGGAAAGTAAGGAGCCTCTTCACCAGCGGTCCGCTGCCGCCGACCAACACCTAAAAGCATCGCCCGCCCCTGTCATTCCCCCAACAACTTCCCTTGATAGCAGGGCCCTCGATGCCAACGCCATCCGACCATGCCCTGGACCATGGTGCTGGGGACCACCTGATGACGGTGTCACCTCATGGAATGTGGGTTCAAGCAAACTCCTTGCTTAACAACATCAAAGGGGCCCCCTTTCTGCAACCTTGGGTCCAACACCTGCAAGATCACACACCTCACGACACCAGGAGCACAGCGACCTCAGGCCCCATGGCACTCTAAGCATCATCCCCAACAACTTCATGACCAGGACCGCCAACAGCTGGGCCTCGGCCAACAAAACAACCACTCCCACAAACAGCTCACACTCAAAGTCGACCGGCCGGCCCAACAGCAATTGCTCCAGCAACAGCTCAAACGGCAACATGAAGAGCAAGAGCGAAAGGAGGAGCAGCACCGCCTCCAGCTCCAACGCGAGCAAGAGGCTCAACAGCAATTGCTGCAACGGCAACTGCAGCACCAGCACGAGGAACAAGAGCAGCAACGCCTGCTTCTCCTCCGCCGGCAGGAGGAGGAGCAACGCGAGCAACTGCAACACCGACATGAGGAACAAGAGCAGCAACACCACCTTCTCCTCCGCCAGCAGGAGGACCAACACCGACTTCAAATGCACCATGACCAGGAGACCCAACAGCAACTGCTACAGCAGCAACAACAACAGCTCCTTTGTCAGTTACACCAACAAACCCACTTTGAGGAACAACTCCACCTCCTGCTCAAGGCACAGATGACGGAGAGTCACAAGCAACAACAGCAAGACCAGATGCTCCAACAACAGCAGCTCCACCTACAATGGCAGCAGCACCTCTGCTGGCAGCACCAACAGATCCTCCAGCAACAACAGCACCAGGTGCATGCTTTTTGGCAAGAGGAGATGGCACAGCAAAACCAGCTCTGACAGCAGCAGCACGAGTACCCCAGCTGGAATTGCCTGCCAACAGTGCACACGGCCTTCATCTACTGCCTAGCTTAGACCACCACCAGCCTTGCTCTGATGCACAGGAGCCTTGGGCCATGCACACATCGGCTCCACTGGATGACGATCCAGCCCGCCTAAGTGGACAAGACATGCAACAGCCCTATCCCACTCTTGCTGATGTCGACATGGAAGCCTCACCCTCCACCAACACCTTCCCAACGACGCCCCACTTGTTATTGCAGGCGATTTCAACACGGCCTTCAAACCGGATCTGAACCGCCGCTCGGCGGCCCGGTGGCCTCCCATGCGACACCTGTCGATCCGAACGTCTTCATGTTGAAACAGCTCATGGCTGACAGACAGCTGGTGGATGCGTACAGGTTACTCCACCCGTCACAACGGGTATATACATGTCTATCTATCATCGAGAGGTCAGCAAGGCACCACCAACTCCATGATAAACCTGTTGCCGGTGTCGGGGGACCTTGTTGGCATCATCATCGCCGCTGGCATCATCACCATCAGCCCGTGTAAGTCCTTTGACAACCGAATGATCACGCTGGGGCTGTCATTTCACGACCATGTTCAAAGGGGTCCAGGTTTCTACAAACTCAGTACCTCCCTGCTGCCTCTTGCAAAATTCAAAAACCTGGTCACGGAGCTGGGGCAGTACTGGCAAACCCAAAAGCCCCGGTCGGGAGAAAGAGTGGCATGGTTCAATGAGGGGGTGGCCCAACATAGAGAGCGAACCAATAAGTTCTCGACTTAGTATGCAAGAGATCGCAAGGCCCTCCTGGAGGCACTCATGAGACAGTTGAAGGAGTGGGATCAGCGGCTCACGAACGACTCGCTGCATCAACCGACATATGAAGAGCTCCAGCAGGCACGTGACCACCTCCAAAAATACATAGACCAGCAAACCCAGATTCAAGCCAGAATCAAATGCGGCCACACAAACCCGCAAAGACCTTTTCCAATGTTAAAGCGAGATCGAGAGCTAAAACTGTGCCCGAAACGCCCCTCAAACCTGCGGTGGAGGCCCTTCAAGCCCGGACCGAGCTGTTGCAAACACTCCAAACTCACCTCACACCCGCCCGAAGGGCCGAACTAGACATCCCCATAGCCCTGGACAAACTCTAGGAAGCACTTCACAACATGGAAGATGAAAAAACACCCGGTGTCGATGCCTTTCCCAAGGAATTCTCGATGCAATTTTGGGACCTGCTCCTGGAGAACTTTCTCAATTACGTTAGAGAGTCCAGAGGGAGGGCACCTTTAGGGTTATGATGGGGCAGGGGGTGACTACACTCCTCTTTAAGAAAGGGGACAAGGAGGAGATGTGTAACTACAGACCCATCACCTTCCTTTTGGTTCCATACAAAGCAGTGGCTGAGGCCCTAACCAATCGACTGCTGCTATTCATGAACCTGCTGATCCACCCGAACCAGACACGCTTCATGCCCAATAGCAATATCCAAGACAAGATATTGTTGGTCAACGAGACCATTAAGTCTACCCGCCCACACAAGGTCCCAGCTGCAATGCTTTTCGTTGATTTCGAGAAGGCCTATGATCATGTGGACTGGGACTTCTTGGAAATATGTTTGGCCAGGATGAACTTCGGCCCTGCTTTCGTTCACTGAGTGTGTCTCCTCCACCGATCAACAACAACAAATATATTGCTGAGCGGCCACCTGTGGGCCCCGATTGTGTTGCACCGCTCGGTGGGGTAAGGGAACCCCATAGCACCCCTTCTCTTCGTCATTGTTATAGAAGCGTTGACCTCGCTCATCAAGGCGCACCCTGGAACCCTAAAAGTCTCCATCCCACACCTCCCCCAACACCTCCTCCCCATCACCTCGCTGTTCTCGAACGACCTCACGATACTCGTCAAAGCAGATGACCAAAGCATACGAGCTCTCACTAGGTCGTCTACTGCTTTGCAATTGCAACGAACATGAAAGTGAATTGGGGCGCTAAATCGGAGGGCTGGTGGATGCAACAGCAAGATCTCGCCCCCTCCCCTCAGCCGCAAGTCTTGTGGGTGACCAAAGAGACCGCCATCAAAATCCTCGAAGTAAAACTGACAGCGCTGGGACTGCCACAGGACCACGACAATGCACTTGTGGACCTGGCCATTGACCACCTCGGCCGTTGGGCGGGCCTGCACACCTCCTTGGTCGGCAGAGCACTGGCCAGCACTGGCCATAAACAACGCTGTCTTGGCCGCAGTCTGGTATAGGCTGGCGGTGTGGCCTCTGACCCCTAAGCAATCAACTCGGCTCCGAAAGTCCCTCGCGACTTACCTGTGGAAGAACAATGCCCAAGACCAAGGTTGATTGAGCCGGGTCAAATGGGACGTTCTATCGCAGCCGAGGAACAAAGGGGGATTGGGGATACTTGACCCACACAACAAGAGAAACCCTCATCTTTAAGGTGCTGATCAAACACCTCACTGGCACCAACATCCCCCGTGAGCCCCCTTCACATGTCTGCAGCTTGCCAATCTAGACCTGCAATCTCTGGGGCGTCGGCAGATCCACCCCTTCCAATGGCTGACCAACGCCCACTCGGCTATTCCCGCCCCAACACAACCCGGACAGGCAGATACCCAAGTTCAGCCGACCAGATCAGATATGCAGCGGGACCCCCTGCGGCCAAGCATGATTAAACTTTGGCGGCGGTGTGGTCCACAACAGTGCCAGCCACCCCTCAGATGGCATGACATCTGGCCCCAGCCTCTCTTTGGTAACCCCCATATATTGGACGCAGCAGGTCACCCCTTCTCCTTACTAACCCGCTCCCACTGGCTCACTTGGGCCCGTAAAGGAGTGTTCAGGGTAAAAGACCTGTTGGACGCATCAATGAGCGACTGGGTGCATGTGCCAAAGCTGCAGCAAACACTCCAACATGTCAAATCTGTAGATGAAAAACTGTCGGAGCTGCGAGAGGCGATCCCGGTGGCTTGACACCTCGTCCTTGTGAAAGGCCCCATGGTCCAAACAGGGGAATGGGTTGTGCAGTTCACAAACCAACCTACACCGCTCGTGGTGTATCGAGCGTGCAGCAAACATCAAGGCACCTGCACTTTGGAGGCCTTCGAGCCCCTGCTGCCACGGGCAATATTCTCAAAGCTTACACGGAATGAAGACCTCGACAGGAATGCAAAGTGTGGGAACTCCGAAGCTGGGCCCGGTGGCACAACTGCCTTTTGACTCGCTGGAGTGGGAGTGGCCAGGTGGTAAGACAATGCCAATATGGGAATACACAGTTAAAGGGGGTAATAGAGTCTCCAACCCGGACCAACCGTTGAATGAAATGGTGGCAGATCGCTGGGCTCGTGACTCCCCTATGGACCCGGCCCTCATGCAGGACTTGCCAATGTTGCCGTGGTCCACATGGGCCAAGATCATGCCCTCTCTCTCTCTCTCTCTCTCTCTCTCTCTCTCTGTGTCTTGCTGAGGTGTTGCCTGTTTGCTTGGAACAAGTTTGCTTTGTAAGACATTGTCTTATCCAAGATCATGCCCACAAACCTGCAGCCGTTGCAATGGCAGATCCTGCACCGGTGCCTGCCCACCCCCGATTGGTTGGTCAGCAGAAATGACATGGAGCAGCGAGGGCAACTCTCCCCCATATGCTCATACTGTGGCCGGTCCACACCGCCTGCCCGTGCCACACTGGAGCACTATCTCCTCGCATGCCTGATGGTGGCCCAGCTGTGGCAATGGTGGGACTCAGCCCTTCACTCCCTCACGTCTGTCCACATCCCCTGGGACCTGGGCCTGCAGTTGCTGGGCAAAAACAGACACCTTTTGGCCCATTGGTCCCCCTTCGCAATCAACGTCTTCTCTTATAAGCGGCTGCAAGTCCTTATGCTGCCCTGGTGGGGCCCATGCTCCTGTGAGAGGAAGGACCACCAATTCGGTTTCCAACAAGCCCAACAGGTGATGGAGGACATGACTCGGTCGTGGACCCAGGAAGCATGGAATGCCATGCAAAAAGACTACCGAAAAGAGAAAGAACCGCATACCAAAGAGGCTATAATGTGCTCACACCGACAGGTACGGCAAGACCCCCTGCACCAATTCAGTGCGCTGGATGAGAGTTTCGCCATTCACTGGAAACCTTGGAGGCACACGAAGCACAAGTGCACAGACGACCTTGGGATGACTTTCAGTCCCATACCTTCAGCCCAATTTCGTCCTTGTCGGCTACACCTAAGCAAACCCCTTGAGCTCTTGCCCCCCCCTTCGTCTCCCCCGACCCTCCCTCCCCACTATACCCTTGAGCAAATCCCTTGGTGGAGCCTCCCTCCCTGGAGTGGAGCATGCTGCACACTGCCACTCGGACTGCCAGGAACCCGGGCATGGGTATAAAGACCGATGGGATCGGGTCGACGATACAAGGGTTCAGGGTTTAATGGTTCGAAGGACTGCGGGTTGGAAGTTGGGAAGCCATGGGGCACGGCTCACTGCAAACATGAGCTGCTCTGCACCACGCTCTTAGGCTGACGAGAAAAGCTCCCCTCATGTTACCGATGTGATCTTGTACAACCTCTGCAACTTCTGCGAGGTCGACGATGCAAGACAGCAGGGGTTTCAGGGCCGTGGGACTAGAATGTGGAAGTAGCGATGCCATACCGCACTGCTGACTGCAGCCACGAGCTGCACGGCACCACACTCCGAGGGGGGGCGATGCCATACCGCACTGCTGACTGCAGCCACGAGCTGCACTGCACCACACTCCGAGGGGGGGGGCGCCTGGGAACGCATGTCCGCGTCAGCCACTCTGCTCGTGGGCCAAAGAGGCGAGCCCCTCTCATGCTACCAATGGGACTTCGTATAACATCTGCAATTTTTGTAATTGGGACGCTGGGCAGGTGCAGCTCCCCACCAATAGATGGAGCCTCCCCACGGCCAGCTTGATGTGTCGGCTCCTACCAGGACCTCAAGCTGTCTCCGGGGCTGTTACAAGAAAAAAAAAAAGAAGAAAAAAAGGAAGTATATACTGGTGGTTTAAGGAATCTCTTGCCCACAAATCTGAGCACAGAAAACTCATGGCCACCTGCCTCTCAGAGCGGTAGGGGGAACTGGTGGTTGAAGGATAATAAAATGAACACTCTTTTCTATTGACCTCCCCTCCCTCTCTGAGCCTCACACACAGACTGCCAAACTATCTATTACTTCCTTCCTTCTTCACCATTGTATTTCCTTGTGTTATACACTGTATGTGTACCGCGGCCTCTTCCCCAGGTTCTCCTGAGTGTCAAATATAGCACCTTTGAGATGTACCAGATACTCACTGACAGCTTGTTAGAAGTGTCTGCAACATTGTCACTCAGCTGCAGCTGTTGTGTGTTCCCCCTGCTGTGTTCCGGATGCATGTATGTTTGTCTAACTCTTGATGGCAGTGTGAACCTACAGTCTCTAGAGTTCTGCTTGTGGCATGAGCAAGTGAATGTTCCGTTTGGTCCATGCTGTGTGTTTGTCTAACTCTTGATGGCAGTGTGAAACTACAGTCTCTAGAGTTCTGCTTGATGGCAGAGTGAACCCACAGTCTCTAGAGCTCTGCTGGCGCTGCCATGCCACTTTGTGTCCTGCCGGCTTCTCTTGCATTCCCTTGCTGCCCTGCTGATTGCCTGCCAACTGCCCTCCCTTGCCCTGTTGTTCATCTGCTTACTCTTTTGGCTTGTGGATGCTCCATAGGTTCCCTCGTGTGCGCCCGTCTGCATGCCGCAGTGTGTGTCTGGCTGTTAAAATAGTTTGCTGCATTATTGTTTGTGCATCCACCCACCATCCACCCACCATCCACCCACCATCCACCCACCATCGACCAACTATTCACCCACCATCCACCCACCATCCACCCACCATCCACCCACCATCCACCCACCGTCCACCCACCATCCACCCACCCCCTGACTGTTTGCTTTACTGCTGCCTGGTTTGCCTTAATTTCTGTACCTGCCCAAGGCACCGGCTGTCCAGCTCAGACTACACTGACTCAAGGCACCAAAACGGGTTCATCCACCCGATGCCTCAATGAGATTCGACAGAAACAGTCTGTCACTTTGACGTCCTTTTTTGTTTTTCTTTCCTATCGTAGGAGAACTCCTATTTTTCTCTCTATCCCCATGAGTGTGTGTGTTGTTGTGTCGTCCAAGAACCTCAAACTCTCTTCTCGTTCCATCCACAAAACCATCCATAAAACAATGTAAGAGAAAGCGCAAGGTTGGACACGTTTGTGTGGTTAAACGCTGTGTGTGTGTGTGTGTGTGTGTGTGTGTGTGTGTGTGTGTGTGTGTGTGTGTGTGTGTGTGTGTGTGTGAGAGAGAGAGAGAGAGAGGG